AGCTAACAGAGGGCGGTCAGGAACGGGGGGAGACATCCGCCTCTTCAGCAGCCAGGCGAAGAAGTACTGGCGAGGAGAGTGGCTCGGTAGCCGGTCTAGAGACAGGTCTGTCTCCTGACCCACACGCAGCCGAGGGGGCTAGTAGTGACGCGGAGACCCCTAATTGATGATGATGAGGCTGATCGCACTTGGCAGCCTCGTCGTCATCAGGCTATTGCTTCCGCATCATCAGGAGAAGAGGGTGCCAGCTTGCCAGCGAGCAGCAAAACAGTCGGTGGGTTGCCCAGGAGGCAGCAGGGTCGCAGCAGTGTCAGTGGAGCCAAACGGCCACGGAGTAGAGCACCAGCTCCACTGCAGCCTACCACCACGGCCAGTAGTGGTGCCGGGTGTGCACGGAGGAAGTAGCAGTCAGCCAGTGAGGAGTAGCGGGGGCAAAGTTTCCCTACTCGGCGGTGTGGCAATTTTTCGTCAAGCCGCCCGAGGAAGTAAACGTAGCCGTATGTCGACTATGTGGCCAGAAAGTCAAGCGTGGCCAGGGGGCCAATGTTGGGACTACAGCGTTGCGTCAGCATATGCAGCGTCGCCATTCGGTGGCCTGGGAAAACCGTGATAAAGATACGGCGGTTCTGCCTGCCCCAGCCCCCGCTCCATCACCCGCTCCGTTACTTGCTCCGTCACCCGACGTCAATCGCCCTCTATCAGCCAGTCAAGGCTCCAACACCTCTGCTGAGGGGAGTTGTCGCTCGTTGGCATCTTCCGCTCGTTCAGATGCTCCTTCTCCTGCTACTCCTCTTCACGGATTCCGTCAGCAGTCTTTCTTGGAATCCGTTTCCAAGAGACAACAGTTTGCGAGCACGCACCCGACGGTGCAGAAGCTGAACGTCCTCCTGTCCAAGTTGCTGGTGCTGCAGTCCCTCCCTTTCCAAGTGGTGGACTCAGCACCTTTCCGAGAAATGATGGCTTGTGCCGAGCCGCGGTGGAGAGTGCCAAGCCGGCATTTCTTCGCCAAAAAGGCAGTGCCAGCCCTGCATTCACATGTAGAAGAGATGGTGGGCCAGTCTTTGAGCATGTCGGTCTCTGCCAAAGTGCACGGCAGCGCCGACGTGTGGAGCTGTAACTACGGTCAGGGACAGTACATGTCATTTACGGCCCACTGGGTGAACGTGGTGCGGCACAGCCGCACCAGCAACTTGGACAGGTCACGCCGCTTTTGCCTCCACGTTTGCACGTCCTTGGTCCAGCAAAGATGTCCGCCTCTACCACCTCTTCTTCCGCCGTGTCCTCAGCCGCCACCCGCCCCCCCGTGCCAAGTCCCATTACCCGACCGGCATATCACATGTGCAGGGCGCAACGGTGTCACGCTGTGCTGCACCTGGTATGCCTTGGCGAACGTAGTCACACAGGGGAGGAACTTCTGAGTGTAATGAACAGAGAAATCGACAGATGGCTGTCTCCGCGCAAACTGAAAATCGGAACCATGTTGACCGACAACGGAAAGAACATGGTGTCTGCTCTGCGTCAAGGAAGGTTGTGCCATGCGCCATGCATGGCTCACGTGTTCAATCTGGTTGTCAAGCGGTTCCTAAAATCCACCATCCCACTGCAAGACATCCTTAAAATGTCACGTAAACTTTGCATGCATTTCAGCCATTCCTACACCGCAAAGCACACCCTCCTTGAGCTGCAGCGGCAGAACGGAATTCCACAGCATCGCCTGATCTGCGACGTTGCAACAAGGTGGAATTCAACCCTACATATGTTAGACCGCCTTTACGAACAGCGAAAGGCCATCACCGATTTCCTGATGTTACAAGCGGATAAAGGTACTCCCCTGTGTAACTTAGATGTCAGCCATTGGCAGCTCATGCGTGACACCTGCCGCTTGCTCAGGCCCTTTGAGGAGGCCACGCTATTCGTGAGTCGGCAGGACTATGGGATGAACGACGTCATTCCTCTGTTGCACGTCCTGGAACAAATGCTGTTAACAATGGCTGGTCAGGGTGCGGTAGACGTGGCGCACAGATCTCAACGCCACATGACCCCTGTGGGGGCAGGACAGGAAGAAGAGGAGGAGGTAGAGGAGGACATTGGTGCTCAGGAATTATTGAGTGAAATGGGTGGTTTTTTTTCCACTCAGCGGACAGGAGTGGAGGAGCAGGAGCATCTGGTAGAGGAGGAGGAGGAGACAGAGGACCCAGACGCACCGTGGCAGTATGCTGTGGAGATGGAGGCAGGGAGTCCCTCGCATTCCTTGGCACAAATGGCCCATAGCATGCTCGGTTGCTTGCGTAGCGACAGCCGAATAATAACCATCAGACAGAGGGATGACTTTTGGCTGTCCACCTTGTTGGACCCTCGCTACCGTTCAAAAATGGTGGCCTTTTTCACACCTGCTGAGGGAGGCCAAAATAAAGTACTATAAAAACCACCTATGTAGTCAGTTGGTCTCTGCCTTTCTGCGCCAACGTCCATCCTCAGACACTGTGGGCCCTGCGCACGCTCGCGTTCCGCTGCCATGGCAGCAGGGGAGGGGTGTGGGGTGGTAGGAGCAGTGGCAGCTCCACCAGCAGCGGCTGCCTCAGTCTGCAGTCGATGATGAGTAGCTTTCTTCACCAGCGCAGTGAGGAAACTACTAACCAACCAGCCGCAGCAGCAGCAGCATCAGGTGGACCTGGAGCAGGACCTCAAACAACAGGCTTGGGCCTACTTGGACAGCACCCTGCCAACCGAGGTAGACAATCCCCTTGACTACTGGGCAACGAAACTTGACCTTTGGCCCCAACTAGCTGAATTTGCCCTTGAAAGGCTGTCATGCCCGGCCAGTAGCGTGGCATCGGAGCACGTGTTTAGTGCGGCAGGAGGTATTGTAACTCCGCGGAGGACACGACTGTCCACCCAAAGTGTGGAGAGACTCACGTTTGTGAAAATGAAACGTGGCCTGTGTATGGCTTCCGAATACTGCTGCCTCCACCACCACCCTGCGCCATGTGCCACTTTCACGTCTCCTTACACTGTTGGTGGGTTCCATTTTGTGATAGGGTGCTGTATGGCCTTCCATTGCTGCTGCCTCCCTCCACCGCCACCCTGCGCCATGTGCCTCTGTCGTCTGCTCACGCTGCTGACGGCTTCCGCTTTTTAACCGAGGCCTGTGTTTGGCTTCCGAATACTGCTGCATCCCACCTCCACCCTGCGCCATGTGTCTCTGTCGTCTCTGCTCACGCTGCTGACGGCTTCCGCTTTTTAACCTAGGCCTGTGTATGGCTTCCGAATACTGCTGCCCTCCACCGCCACCCTGCGCCATGTGCCACTTTCAGGTCTCCTTACACTGTTGGTGTGTTCCATTTTGTGATAGGGTGCTGTATGGCCTTCCATTGCTGCTGCCTCCACCGCCACCCTGCGCCATGTGCCTCTGTCGTCTGCTCACGCTGCTGACGGCTTCCGCTTTTTAACCGAGCCTGTGTTTGGCTTCCGAATACTGCTGCATCCACCGCCACCCTGCGCCATGTGTCTCTGTCGTCTGCTCACGCTGCTGACGGCTTCCGCTTTTTAACCTAGACCTGTGTATGGCTTCCGAATACTGCTGCCTCCACCGCCACCCTGCGCCATGTGCCTCTGTCGTCTGCTCACGCTGCTGATGGCTTCCGCTTTTTAAACTAGTCCTGTGTATGTCTTCCGAATACTGCTGCCTCCACCGCCACCCTGCGCCATGTGCCACTTTCAGGTCTCCTTACACTGTTGGTGGGTTCCATTTTGTGATAGGGTGCTGTATGGCCTTCCATTGCTGCTGCCTCCACCACCGCCACCCTGCGCCATGTGCCTCTGTCGTCTGCTCACGCTGCTGACGGCTTCCGCTTTTTAAACCGAGGCCTGTGTTTTGGCTTCCGAATACTGCTGCTGCATCCACCGCCACCCTGCGCCATGTGCCTCTGTCGTCTGCTCACGCTGCTGACGGCTTCCGCTTTTTAAACTAGTCCTGTGTATATCTTCCGAATACTGCTGCCTCCACCGCCACCCTGCTGCCATGTGCCACTTTCAGGTCTCCTTACACTGTTGGTGGGTTCCATTTTGTGATAGGGTGCTGTATGGCCTTCCATTTGCTGCTGCCTCCACCGCCACCCTGCGCCATGTGCCTCTGTCGTCTGCTCACGCTGCTGACGGCTTCCGCTTTTTAACCGAGGCCTGTGTTTGGCTTCCGAATACTGCTGCATCCACCGCCACCCTGCGCCATGTGTCTCTGTCGTCTGCTCACTGCTGCTGACGGCTTCCGCTTTTTAACCTAGGCCTGTGTATGGCTTCCGAATACTGCTGCCTCCACCGCCACCCTGCGCCATGTGCCTCTGTCGTCTGCTCACGCTGCTGACGGCTTCCGCTTTTTAAACTAGTCCTGTGTATGTCTTCCGAATACTGCTGCCTCCACCGCCACCCTGCGCCATGTGCCACTTTCAGGTCTCCTTACACTGTTGGTGGGTTCCATTTTGTGATAGGGTGCTGTATGGCCTTCCATTGCTGCTGCCTCCACCGCCACCCTGCGCCATGTGCCTCTGTCGTCTGCTCACGCTGCTGACGGCTTCCGCTTTTTAACCGAGGCCTGTGTTTGGCTTCCGAATACTGCTGCATCCACCGCCACCCTGCGCCATGTGCCTCTGTCGTCTGCTCACGCTGCTGACGGCTTTCCGCTTTTTTAGGCCGATGGCGAATACTGCTGTTTGGCATGTTCCGAATACTGCTTGCTTTTTTAACCGAGGCCTGTGTTTGGCTTCCGAATACTGCTGCATCCACCGCCACCCTGCGCCATGTGTCTCTGTCGTCTGCTCACGCTGCTGACGGCTTCCGCTTTTTAACCTAGGCCTGTGTATGGCCTTCAATTGAAGCTGCTTCTGCTCCGCCACTCTGCCATTGGACTCTTGATAGTCGTCTCCCCACGCTGCTGCTGGGGGACTTTTTAACATAGGCCTCTGTATGGCCTTCAATTTTAGCTGCTTACGCTCCGCCACTCTGCCATGGGCCCCTGTACCGCCTCCTCATGCTGCTGCCAGGCCCGTAATCTGCCATGGGCCCCTGTACCGACTCCTCATGCTGCTGCCAGGCCCGTAATCTGTCATGGGCCCCTGTACCGCCTCCTCATGCTGCTGCCAGGTCCAGAGTGTGTCATGGGTCCCTGTACGGCCTCCCATTGCTGCTGCCAGGTCCAGAGTGTGTCATGGGTCCCTGTACGGCCTCCCATTGCTGCTGTCTCCATCGCCACACTCTGCCATGTGCCACTTTCAGGTCTCCTCACACTGCTGGTGGTTTCCATTTTGTCATAGGGTGCTGTATGGCCTCCCATTGCTGCTGCCTCCACCGCCACACTGTGGCTCCACACTCTGATTTGGCCCCGTGACTGCCCAAATGAGTGAAGTGTGCGGTGATTCTAAGATCGACGGCACTCATCTGCATGTCATACTGACTGACAGTATTATTTCTCTTCCCCAGCAGACTCCAAGGGCATTTAAATTAAAGGTACAGTGTTCTGCACTAATATAAAGGCTCTCTGAAGCCTAGAAACACCCTTTTTATAAGTTAAATTCGCAGCAAATATATTCGGCACAAAGCGAATTTAATCGGCGAATTCGGCGAATCAGCCGAACCGAATTTTTTAATAATTCGCTCATCTCTAGTCAGTACTTTCCTCATGTTGTGAAAGCGTGAGGAAAGTGCAACCGATAACCGGCAACTGCATTTACTGGTGATCTGCTGTGTCATTGGACATAGCTGATCAAGTGGTAAAATGCCGCTGTGATTGGCCTTTTACCACATCACGTGATCAGCTCTGTCCGTAGGACACAGCGATCAAGGAAATCACCAGGTGCACACCCCCGGGGGCACGCGGTAGGGCGCGCTCTGGGAGGACATCATATGACATCCTCCCTGGACTGGACAACCACGCGTCATTCGGCTATAGCGTGGTTGGCAAGTGATTAAAAATTGTGGTTGGTCAAAGAAAGCATAGGCTTTTGGCACCTGAAAAATGGGTGCAGAGAAGGAATAATGGTTTGATCTTGAAGTCAGATACAGATTGGAGATAAGACGCATGGTGTGTGAAAAAAGAAAAAAATAAACATTTTCCTGCTCAGCTTCTAAATCTATATACACTAACTAGTGTGCTGCAGCAAAAAAAATGTACCAGCCTTGTGCAATAATACAAGCGTAAAAAATTGCCGTACTCAAAATACATATAAATGTGTAAATATCATCATGTCATAAACCACAAATCAGCTAAAAATATTCATTAAACTTCAGAAGGGTTAAGTGTTTGAGACAAGTTGAATTTAATGTTTAATTAATATTATTAGCTGATTTGTGGTTTTTGATATGATGATATTTACACATTTATATGCATTGTGAGCATGCCAATTTTTTTTAGACATATAAAATGCAATTTTTAGCAGAGTAAATACATTTTTCAAAAGGAATGTTTACTCTTACCCTTATGCTTAATGCAGTTACTCTAATTTTTAGCCCTCTAATTTTCCAAAATGAATTTTTACCCTTATCCTTATCTTCTACCCTTAGTGCATTTACACTAGATGTTACCCCTCTCCCAGTCTTAAGCTGGCTATTCATTTTTTGATCCAGCCTGCGGGCTGAATGAAAAAAATCAAACAGGTTTCTCCATCCACGCTAAACAGTGTGGATCAACAAATCTTCCACTGAAGCTATTATATTCTGAAAGCCAGAGTCAGCTGGCTGTTTCTCTAGGTTTACTGCAACAGATCAAAGAATATCCAGTGACAAGGTGCCAACAGGGCCACCCACTGTTTAGATTTTGGGCAGTTCATCAGAAACATTAAAAATGCTAAATTTCTTTGAAATAACATACTGTACTTGCATGTGTATGATGTATAAAGTAATGTTTACAAAGAAAAATTGCAGTTTAACCACTTGCTTATTTTACTGTCAGCAGGTGGCACAGCTAGGTTCAGCAACATAAATATACATTGCCTGGCACATGCACACAGACACTCCCCCCTTCCCCGAGCAGGACACAGAATTTCATTTATAACATCTATGCTTACTCTAGGAATGCTGTAATTAGCTGATAGCTATCACATGATATCTGGGCCAATCAAAGCACCCTGTACTATGTGATAGCTGTGGGGCAAAAAAATAAAAAAAATGTAATTAAAAATGTATTCTTTTTTTATTTTACATAACCAGTCAGTATTCCTGATCACCGCCACATGGGTCATATTATGATGCTGTACTGCACTGGTGACAGTATGTAAAAAAAAAATTGTGCAAAAGAACACATTTTATTTAATTTCTTCATTTTCCATAGAATTGTAATAAAAAGTAAAAAATTCATAAAACGTGCTATGCTTCTTACTAAATACATCAGACTGTCTACTTTCCAAAATGGGGTTATTTGGGGGCATTTGTACTGTCCTGGCTTTTTAGGGCCTCAAGAAATGAGATAGACCATCAGTACATCAGGAGTGATCAATTTTCAAATATATATACCACAGTTTGTAAACTTTCACACAAACCCGTTAATAAACACTTATTGGGATTTTAAGAAATTTGATTTTATTGGATATGTTTTCTAACAGAAAAGAGAAAATATCAGTGTTTTATAATAATTTATGTTTTTTCATTTATATAATAAAAATTAAAAACCCAGTGGTAATCAAATACCACCAAAGAAAAGCTTTTTTTGTGTGAAAAAAATTATATACATTTTATTTAGGTAAAGTGTTGCATGACCAAGCAATTGTCAGTTAAGGTAACACAGTGTTGAATTGCAAAAAATGGCCTGGTCATGAATGGAGTAAAACTTTCCTGAGGTGGGGGGGCATGGCCTGAAGCAGCATGGCGAAGGGTGCATTTCTGGGAGCTCTGTCTGAGACTCCATCCAGACATCCATTTCTGCTGATTCTGCACGATATCCTGCTCACACTCACACCCGCTAGCACATCTGCTAATCTTTCCTCTGCTTTTCTGCACCATGTCGCTGCTGAAAAACGTTGCTGACGCTGGAGGCAAACTTACTGAGTTTCGCCATAAGGAGAAAGACACAGTGGGGGAAGATGGCGCCGTTTCCTCCGCTGTGGAGGAACCTGCGAAATCTGACACTAATAAGGTATTGGTGGCAATTTCCACCTGTCAGAGCACCCTCACCTACAAAACTGAAGAGGTAAAGATTGACATCTCACTTATTTGACAAGATTTACAAAAGCTCTGGGAGCGGGTCACAGAGGTAGAAGCACGTCTTAGTCACGTGGAGGATGATTTGCACCATTACAGGTTACCACTGAATGCCTGCAGCACCAGCTTCTTACAGTGCTGCAGAAGCAAGACATGGAAAACAGACTTTGTAGGTGCAACCTCCAATTCGTTAGTCTACCCGAGGGTGTGGAGGGATCAGATCCAGCTACTTTCTTGGAGTCATTGCTCACTAATACCAATGGCAGGGAGGTGCTCCCCCCTACCTTCGTGGTGGAGTGTGCCCATCGCCTGGCCTCTAGGCCTCCGCCAAAAGGTGCACCGTCACATATGTTTATTGCCAAATTCCGGAACTATCGTGATCGGGACACTATCCTTCATCTCACCAGAGAAAAGGGAAGCATCCATTATCAGAATGTCAGGATTGTGGTTTTTCCCGACTTCTCGGCTGAGGTGCAAAAACGTTGTGAGCAATTTATGGAGGCCAAGCACGAACTTCAGATTCATCATGTTTCCTATGCTATGCTCTTTCCTGCCAGACTCTGAGTTGTGCGTGATGACAAAGTACACTTTTTTAAATATCCGGAATCGGTACTGACCTGGCTGGATCAACAAACAGCACTGGGCCCTGCACAAGCCTGATTTCTTGAGACATCTAATAGAATTATGCTTCATCTCTCCCCACTCCGGGGATCTGTGAGTGTATCACGCTGCACCTGTCCATGACTTTGACTCTGTTTACTCTCCACATAATTTTTGCCGATCCCTCCTCTTGACATTCGCAAATTTTTCTTTTCGATCATCTTCCCCTCTCCCCCCCCCCCCCCTCCCCTCCCTTTTTTTTTTATTATTGCTTTATTTTTCGGTTTCAGCTCCTAATTCCTTTCATTTTGTCCTACCTCTGAGTCTATCTAAATGTCCAATGGTTTCTTCTGTACTGTTTCTCCCTTCTATACTCCCTTTTTCCTTTTAATGTTTTATCTATTTCTTCCCTATGTTTACTTTTCACTCTTTTTTTCTTCTCCCCCTCTTTTCCCCTCTTTGACCCCTCATCCCCCTTCTTTCCCTTCCCTTCTTCTTCCCCCTTCTTTCCGCCCCTCCTTTTCTTTCCCTCTCCCTCCTTCCCTCCCCACATCTCTTTTTCTTTTCTTTTTCTCCTCTTCTCTCCTATGACACCCTGGGCTATGAACCATTTTTCAGCGGATTGTTCACTCCCCTAGTACCTGAACCTCCCTCCGTATGCTTCGGATTTTGTTGTTTTTTTGTTTGCAGAGTCCGGTTTTGAGCGGAGGTTTGGCATTTTTTTTTTTTTATTACATTTTACTTTAAGTGCGATTTCCCTGGCCAGCTGCAGTGGGGCAATTTGCTAACTTTCTGTATTTTCTATTACCCTCTCCATACTGGTCCAGAATGTATAGCTTACTTTGTTACTTGTTTTGTTTGTTCCTGTTCGTATTGTATTGTGTTTGCAAACTCGAGAAGAATGTTATGCTGTCCATTGATAGATATGTGGTGTCTTTATATGTAAAGTTAATGGCTACTCTGCTTGTACCTTATGCGGGGAACGCCTGTATTTTGTACTGCCTTTGGATCGTGGGATGAGGCCTGCTCCTCTGGGCTATACGTTTTATTGTGCTCCTTTTGTGTTCTGTGTTCTGCTCATGTGGATTCACCTCTATGCATCTCTGTCTCACACAATGTCATGGCTACTCTCAAGTATTTGACGTGAAACGTCCGTGGTATGAGGGTACGGCCTAAGCGCACTGCTGTTTTAAAATCTTTGAAGGTTGACGTGGCAGTCCATATGGAGACCCATATCACTGGTCAGCTCCAATTGGCCCTTAAAAAACCTTGGATTTGGTGGCTTTATCAGGCCCTTTACACCTCTAATTGCCAAGACAATCCGTTTTCAGCTACTAACTCTGCAGGTGGATCCACAGGGTAGATTTTTATTTTTACATACTATCCTTAATAATATAGAAATGTTGATACTGGCTTACTACATCCCTCCCCCCTTCCAGTTTGCTTTTCTAACTGAAGGCTTGGTGTTTATTGCACAATACCCAGGTATCCCTACAGTGTGGTTGGGGGATTTCAATATCACTATAGACCCTAGCCAGGAAAAATTGGATTACAACCCCTCTGTCCCCACCCCATCCTATGTTACTCATTTCAGTAAACTTTTGATGGAATTTGCGCTGGTGGACACTTGGAGGTGCTTGCATTCCACGATCAAAGCTTACTCTTGCTTTTCTGCTTCTCACTCTACTATGTCTCGCATAGACTACATATTTATATCCAAATCACTGTTACCTAAATTG